TCATCGCTCCGGCCGGACAGGGCATCACAGTATGGTAAGTGGCGTAACATTTCCGTCTCACGCTTGAGGTATTCGGCCAATCATAACACACTGGATAGCTGGCCAATCAGAGCACACCTCGCTTTTCAGACCGATGAGCTTTGTAAAAATCAACGCGTTTCAGAAAGGCGGGGCATAGAGGAGAAACAATAATGTGCAGTATGTGGAAAATAATGTGTTTTTTGAACCTTAAACCGCATAAACACATTTCATTACACCAAATACACCAAATAATGTTCTTGGGGCAATCCAACCCTCTCCATTGACTCTGTATCTGCGGGAAGCTGCCTCCTTGCTATTTCTGACTTATAACAAAAAGCAGAACAATGTCTAAAAGCTGCTGTGTGACAAGCTGTCCAGCAAACAAGCTAAAAACCCAGAACTAGGTTTTTATAAGCTGTCGACCCAAAAAACAAGCGTTTAGGACACAGAAGTAGAGCGCATCGTGTCATATTACTCTGAGAACTACACCCACTGGAGGGAAGCATAATCAGAGACAGGAAACATTATTATTCATTATTCTTAACCATGCCAAAGGATTATTTCACTACCCGATGTGAATCTGAGAGGTCTATGTCAGTGCCCCTTTTCCTTACCTTCCTTTTGTTTGAGAAATGATCCAACTGAACGGCCCAACGTGAAATACCCCGACATCTACAACTATTTGTGTGCTTAAACGCTTGTTTTTTGGGTCGACAGCTTATAAAAACCTAGTTCTGGGGTTTTAGCTTGTTTGCTGTACACCTCGTCACACAGCAGCTTTTAGACATTGTTCTGCTTTTTGTTATAAATCAGAAATGACAAGAAGGCAGCTTCCCGCAATACAGAGTCAATGGAGAGGGTTGGATCGGGTATAGCTAGCAAACTGTAGGCTGTAGTAACTGTAATGACAGTAGCTCGCGATTGAACGATGAATCGCTGATGCTAATGCGCTCTAGTTATTATAGTATTAGGGGCTTTCAGCCCCACCCAAAAAATACTCCACACAAACATGGGGAAAAACTGTTTATATCTCCACAATTCAGTACTACATAGTCCAGTCTTTGCGATGCAGCTTCAGATCAGAGGCTTTTCAGACCGATGAGCTTTGTAAAAATCGACGCGTTTCAGAAAGGCGGGGCATAGAGGAGAAACAATAATGTACAGTATGTGGAAAATAATGTGTTTTTTTAACCTTAAACCGCATAAACACATTTCATTACACCAAATACACAAAATAATGTTCTTGGGGCAATCCAACCCTCTCCATTGACTCTGTATTGCGGGAAGCTGCCTTCTTGCTATTTCTGACTTATAACAAAAAGCAGAACAATGTCTAAAAGCTGCTGTGTGACAAGCTGTCCAGCAAACAAGCTAAAAACCCAGAACTAGGTTTTTATAAGCTGTCGACTCAAAAAACAAGCGTTTAGGACACAGAAGTAGAGCGCATCGTGTCATATTACTCTGAGAACTACACCCACTGGAGGGAAGCATAATCAGAGACAGGAAACATTATTATTCATTATTCTTAACCATGCCAAAGGATTATTTCACTACCCGATGTGAATCTGAGAGGTCTATGTCAGTGCCCCTTTTCCTTACCTTCCTTTTGTTTGAGAAATGATCCAACTGAACGGCCCAACGTGAAATACCCCGACATCTACAACTATTTGTGTGCTTAAACGCTTGTTTTTTGGGTCGACAGCTTATAAAAACCTAGTTCTGGGTTTTTTAGCTTGTTTGCTGTACATCTTGTCACACAGCAGCTTTTAGACACTGTTCTGTTTTTTGTTATTAATCAGAAATGACAAAGACGCAGCTTCCCGCAATACAGAGTCAATGGAGAGCGTTGGTAATTATGACTTTTTATCTCACAATTCTGACTTTTTTCCCTCATTATTCTGACTTTTTTCTTGTAATTCTGAGAAGAAAAAAATAGTGGGAAAAAAGTCAGAATTGCAAGATACGAAGTGAAACTTTCCAGAAAAAAGTCAGAATTGTGATATAAAACATTGCAATTACCTTTTTTTATTCCATGTTGGTAAAAAAAAAAAAAAACTGAATTGTGAGTATTTATCTTATTTAACTTACATCTTAGAACTGGAAGAAAAAAGTCAATTGTGAGATGAAAAAGTGCCAATTAGCTTTTTATTTAGTTATTCCATGGTGGAAATGAGCTTTCATAGAAAACATCTAAAATACACATTTAAGTGTTAATTTTATTGCATTTTATCTTTTTGTTTCTGTAGATTTCAATTCCAGTCCATAACTTTAAAGAGTTTTTCTCTTACATTCACCAAACCTTACAGTTTTATTCCTCTCTATATTCTGAAGGTTTGTTCATATTTCATTCACACTGATTTATAAACATTTTACTCCAGAAACATGGTGAAGATGTGTTTGTTTTCTGTCTGTTGACAGCATTTTCTGATTTATAGAGTGATAAAAAGAGAAATCCAGAATCCCC